TGTGCGGTTCGAAGAGCAACTCCAATTCAAAACTTCGTCAAAGTCACCTGAAAGACAAGTGACGTCTATTTCAATCGATATACTTAACTACCAAATCAACTTCATGGTCCTTTTATATGCGGCACATCCAATAGATAAGAGAAGTGCATGATCGTCCGGTTTGGGCTCGTGACAATATATGCGCCCACATCCGTTCATGTAATGGATCGTACCCAATCGTGCTGATGAAGGCAATAGCCGATTTTATGAATGTCCGAAAGTCAGTGCATGTACTGTGTTTGGCCAACACGAGCGTGTGGCTATGATATCTATCTATGTAATTCGTGGAGGCAAACACAAATTCTAAAGTGTCTTAATTGCATACGTTATGAATATCGATCCTTAAATATTTCTAAGCGCTATAACTGAAGTACGAAAAACTTTAAATTAATTCTCAAGGGATGTTAGTAGAAGAGCACGTGACCTTTTGCAGTGCGACGAGTGATTATATTAAACTCTGGAAGCATAGAACTGGCATTTGATCGACAGCCTGTTGCTCTCTCTCTAAGCTGATCGGATGAGCACTGCTCAGTTTTCAATAGTTTATTCTGCGACTACTATACTTCCTTTCATGGAAGTGCGAATGGAACCGAGGTTACGGCCAAGGGGCCAATCATGCGAAGTCTAAAGCATCGTGATGGCCATCTTTCTCTGCGTGCTCATCCACCAGCTGTTCCAGTCGAGTGTAGAAAGTGCGCCGTTTAGTATTTGTTAATATGAGGTAAAAAGAACTATCAAATTTCTGTATGAGCCGTTACCAACCTAAGTAATACTGCCTAATCAAGGACTAATGTTGCGTGCACCTTTAGCATTATTTCAGTCAAAACATTTTGCAGAAAGAAAATAAATTCGTATCGTTTTTTTTATCTTGTGTGTGTTTTCCACTGATATAAATCCAACATCCGTCAAACGTCAAGTCTTTTTCTGACAATATTAGGCACGGGTGGACGTCGACCCGCAGAGAAATGTGTATTTCACTGTTTTATTTTGATTCAGATAACGTCCTGTTATCAAATTTTTGAGTTTTGCCTCGAGCGTTAGTGAAACACGTTCACACAATTTTAGCTTCTTTCAATGCCACAAAACGCTTTTATATTAAAAACCGGGAACAACGTACCACCCTCCCCCCCCCCCCCCTTCCCTCCCGTTATCAGGTAGTTTACCTGTCAACAACGTTGTACGCAGAGTTGGTAAGTTCGTTTCACTTTAATGACGTGGTGGTTGACGGATGTAGGTTCTGATGATGAGGAGGGGGATGGCGGTCATTCCGCTTTATATAAAATTGGCTCTCGTGGAAATAAATATTGAGCCGTATTTTCAGACGTTGCTTTTTTGGTCTTTCTTGTTTCCCATGTCTCGGAATATTTTATTTAGTGATAACATAATACCCATCAAGGGAAAGTAGTGTTCTGCTTCTGAATATGAAAAATAGCGTTAGTGACACCGAGAGGCAACTCCTCGTGCTATTGTCCAAACTCCATGAACATATTCGTTCATTTTGAAGAAAAACGAGATTTAATTGCTCATGTATTTTTACTTAAAAATTTTCCTGGCTATTCAGAGTCTAAAAGAGAGCTTACAGTATCGAAAGACAAAATGAGACCTATTAGGAACAGCATTCTAACGAACCACAAAACAGTACATCAACTAAATTATATTAAGTTCTTTAATTATAAAATGTTTCCAAATTGGTGCCAGTGTTATATTATGAATAAATATTTACAATCTTGTAACATCAATGGTTTTTGGCAACCAGTTGCAAGCAGCTAATGACTTCGAAGAATAAAAAAAAAATGAATGTCAAAGTATTTGTGCGAAACTCCCTGGTCAATTTACGTTGTGAGAAATAGTGTTCTCTCGCAACAATAAAATTATCACAAGATACTGAGTTTGTTGAGTGAAGCCGTAATATATCATGCCAACCAAATCATTCAACCTTTTGTTTCTGAGCTCCCTGCGTGAAACATTTATAGGCCTAGCAAACAAATTATTTTTGCTGCGTTATTTGTTCCTTTGTACAGGTTGCAAATTAACATAGCTGTACTCTACTGTGGATTGTGGGAGCTTAGCTATGTTTGTGGAAATATGGAAGTTCATTAGATCGGCTGCACTTACTAGGCCAGTCCTCACAAAGGCCAGTGAGCCGCGAGCTTCACCCACATTGGGGTCTGGGAACCTTACGTCAAATTCACTAAAAAGCACTAAAAGCATTATAACAAACGTTATGTGTGTGTTAATATCAGTTAAAGTTTTCAGTGATGGTAGCTTTTACATATGTAGCTGCGGGAGGCATTTATTTACCACCACTACGCAAAACTAAGAATACTTCAAAACAGCGTTCTCAATACCTACTTGAAAACGAGAGGGCAGGTCAATGCTCAGAGATATTTCCCAGTTCCGACACCAGCTTATGATGCTTTAGTTTATCATTCACTCTAGTAACGTCAGCCAGGGTTTCACGAGGCCACAAAATGTTTAGGACTAATTTCGGGAGCACAACTCCTTGTAACTTTGTTATTACATAAAAACAAAAACTTTATTCCCAATTTGACTTTTGAGGCACTCTCTGCAAGACTGTAAGAGGGACGGGGGACTGATTTTGAATTTAAATGTAATGAGCACAGTTCTCTAAATAAAAAGTATAATGAAATCTGAAGGGTTGATGAAAATCCTAATCGCTTAAAGCTTCTGTATAATTTTAATTTCCAACTATTTAATACTGTTTTGGCGAAGTCAAAGAATTCTGCGTCGATAACTTACTTCTTACTGAAAGTAAGTGCAGTCATAAGAAGTACACCGTAGCAGCTAAACAGTGGATACACCACGACGAAAGCTGTGCTGAACGTTTGACAGTTTTTTTTAATAAAAAACTGGCGCTTTGGCACGCCACGTGTTCTTAACGTTTGCAACTCGTCTGAAGAAACCTTTCAGCGGAGCGGGAAGAAGACGAGGAGGTTCGGGGCTGGGCCCGAGCGCGAGCTACATTTCTATCGGTGATTTTCGTTCGGAACTGGGAAGTGTGAGTAACGCAGTTACCGGTGATTAAAGTAGTGTTTTTTCTTGTAGTCATCAACGCTTCGGCTCAATGGTTTCGACATTTTGGTGCCGAAACCCGGGATCAGGACTGTACGATGGGCCAGATGAGAAGGTGTCACAAGCGTTGATGTAACGAGGCTACAGGACAAGACACCATCCAGCTCGAGAACGCAAGGGACCATAACGACGCTGCCATGGATAGGCTGAAACAGAAGCGAAAAGCCCTGCGTTCACAGGTAACAAAGCTGCTGACGGAAATCGATACAGCTACCCAAACCGAACTGCTGATTGAGGACGAGCTCAACGTCTTACTGACTCGTCTCAACGCGCTACATGGTCAGCTTACCGAAACGGACTCTGCCCTCGAACCATTGTTGGCAGCAAGTGACATCGAACAAGAGTATGCTCGGATCGTCGAGTGCAGCGATCGTATCGTCACCTACTCGGCAAGACTGACCTTCAAGGTGCGGACCCTACACGAAAGAGCGAGTACAAGCGGTCAAGAAATCGCAACAAACCACCGCAGTCCCACTTTGTCAGTCAAGGACAAGCTACCAAAGCTTGAACTCTTGAAATTCAACGGACAACCTCAACAATGGCAGCCCTTCTGGGAGCAATTCGAGCAGGTCATCCATGGTAACCCAGAACTGTCATCAGCCGAGAAGTTCCACTACCTCAGATCGGCGTTGTCGGGAGAGTCTGCTGCAGCGATTGCCGGATAGCCACCAACGGCCAGCTGTTATAAAGATGCGCGGGAGATCATAACGTCCCGTTACGGCGACGAGGCGCTGCTAGTAGATGACCACATGATAAAACTAGCAGAACGGCAGCCAGTTCGAACCTCGCAAGACGTCCGAGGACTACGACGACTACACGATGAACTCCAAGCGCATATAAGAGGACTCAAGTCTCTATTGGTTAACGAAGATTCTTATTCGACTCTCCTTTGCCCCCTTGTACTTCGGCTGATTCCAGAAGATCTTGTGCTAACTTTCAACAGAAATGTCGTTCGGAAGAAAGAACAGCGTCACCCGGAAGATGTGGCTGTAAACGCGGCTGGCGAAGGAAACCAGCACGGTGTAGAACAGTCCCAGCTAACGCAACTACCATCACTTATGCAATTTCTGAGAATTGAAGTTGAAAGTAGAGAAAGAACGACAGTCACAAAAAAAAAAACAGAATCAGGAGGCATAATAAGTAAAGCAGGAAAAGAAAGTGGAGTAGCATCTCGTGCAGCAAAGCACAATTCAAAACCATGGACAAAAGGAACGGCCGCGACACTTCTACAGAAAAGTGACAAGCAGAGCTGTGTTTTCTGCAAGTCAGCAGACCACGAGACAGAGCTGTGCACAACAACGGTAGGTCTTCCCGAGAAGAGGAAGATTTTAACGAGCTCGGGAAGACGCTTTAGGTGCACGAAGAAAAACCACCTGGCCGAACAATGCAGGAAAAACATTTCTTGCTCCAACTGCCAAGGTCGACACGCATCAGTCATGTGTGGCCCAACGTTCTTGTCAAGCTCAAGAGACGATAAAGGCAGGCAAGAGGAAAAACTGACTTTTGCTGGTCTAGTGGCCCTACAATCTACGATTAAAGACGGGGTCAACAAAAACGTCCTCCTGCAAACAGCGACAGTGTGGAGCTTGGGACTGAAACAGCGCATCCTTGTAAGAGTGCTATTCGACGGCGGAAGCCAGAGGTCTTTTGTCACAGAACTACTCTCACGAAAGCTCAGATGCAAGCACTTGGGAAACGAAAGACTGAATGGAGCATTTGGCGACCACACGACAGAACGAAACTTTCGCAGAGTTCTTGTGACTCTTGAAAATCAGAGAGGTGCCCGTTTGGAAGCACTTGAGACAAGCCGTATTTGTGGTCAACGATTGCCCTATCCAAGAGAAGCATTGCGTCGCCAACTGAAAAAAATGGGATACACGGCCGCGGACTTCTGTGAAGCTGAGGGACCCAACGGCGTGGACACACTGATTGGAGGCGATTGCTATTGGAACTTCGTCACGGGCCAAGTTAGGAGACTCGACGGGAAATTTCGAGTAATCGAGACGTGGCTTGGCTGGACCGTACACGGTCCAACAGAACTTTCAGCATCTGTCATCAAGAGCTGACAGATGGTCGTTCTCAACGCAACGACAAACAACATGGATGCATCTGAAATGATTCAAAGGTTTTGGAACCTTGAATCGATTGGTATAACCGACGAACCTCATCCAGAGACACAACCCGTGATCGCGTGTTACAAAGAAACAGTTAAGAAGATCGGTCTTCGGTACGAGGTGGCCCTCCCGTGGAAACCCGTAGTGAACTTAGACGATAACAAACAAGTTGCGGAGAGGAGGCTTCAGCAGCTGACAAGGAAGTTAACTCAGAACCCTAAGTTGATGAGGGACTATGACGCCGCGATCCGGAAGTACACCGAAGGTTGAATGGCAGAAGAAGTGTCAGATGAGCAGACTAGATCTCGGAAGTTCTACATGCCACACCAACCAGTTTGTCGCGAAAGGAGCACCACCACTAAATTGCGAGTCGTATTTGATGCTTCTTCCCATAGCAAAAGCTCGAAGTCCTTGAACGACTGTTTGGAAAGTGACCCCAACCTGAACACGGATATTGTCGCGTTGCTTTTGAACTTCAGAAGACATTGTATCGCGCTAGTGACCGACATCGAGAAGGCGTTTCTTCAGATAAGTATACAAGAAGATGATCGCGATGCGTTACGCTTCCTGTGGTATAAAACTACCCCACAGGTCGGAAGACCACTTCCTCCAATTCTCATCTGGAGGATGACGAGAGTTCCTTTTGGAACTACATCGAGCCCATTTTTATTGTCTGCGACGATAAAACATCACCTGGAAACAATGAAGAACGAGTATCCAGACACCGCGGTGCTGCTGCAAGATTCCATTTACGTGGATGACATTCTTACCGGTGCATCCAGCGAAGAAGAAGCCACTAAGATCTTCAAGGAATCGACAGCAAGTTTCGAGCAAGTGTCAGTGAAGCTGCACAAGTGGGTGTCTAACCAAATGAGGTCGACTCGAAGCACCACGAGGAACAACCATTGGGGCAGGTTGCGGGAGTTTTCAAGGTGCTGGGACTAACGTGGAAACCTGCCACAGACCTCGTAACATTTGCACCAGACGATGTTCTGAACTTCGTAGAGAAGCACTCAGACACAAAAAGGTTTGTCCTACAGACTACAGCCAGACTCTACGATCCCCTAGGATTCATCGCGCCATTTGTCGTGCGAGCGAAGATCCTATTTCAACAAATCTGGAAACAGAAGATGGAGTGGGACGACCTACTGCCTTTTGACCTGCGCAGTGAATGGCACCGATGGTGTGCGGATCTTCCATTGCTATGTGACGTCATGGTGCCACGTTTCTACATACGGGGAATAGAGGGAGCGACGATCAAGACAAACCTGCACATCTTTGCCGATGCTAGTCCTCAGGCGTATGGAGCCGTAGCATACGTAACTATGACGAATGATTGCGGCACCACGACATCCACGATCCTGCTTTCCAAGTCTCGAGTGGCACCTCTAAAAGAACTTTCTGTAGCGAGGCTAGAACTTTTGGCATGTCTTTTGGCAACCAGACTAAGTGTCTACATTAAGACCAAGCTGCAGGAGAACATCCACAAAGTGCACTTGTGGACCGAGGCCAAGATAGCTCTTTATTGGATCCTCGGAGAAGCAAACGTCTGGAAACAGTTTGTAAGAAATAGAGTCGTTGAAATCCAGCGAAACTCTAATCCTTGCTCTTGTAAACACTGCCCAGGCAAAGAGAACCCGGCTGACCTGGTGACCAGAGGAATCACAGCCAGGGAGCTGCTCGACAGTGAAGTATGGTGGAAAGGACCTAGCTGGTTAACAGTACGAGAGCGGTGGCCAGAGAAGTCTGAACCGCAAGAATTCAATATAGAAGAAACAGAGAAGAAAAAAGGTTGCAGCGTTACCCACGGCAACAGCAGACCAAACGATGGCTCCAGAAATTGAGCGGTTTAGCACAGCTATATGACTTCGGCGAACAATGGCGTGGGTACTCCGCTTTATAATGAAATCTAAAAGAATTAGCGCTCAAACTGTGCCCTTAACCGCGGAAGAATTGAACCGAGCCGAAAGATATATAATAAAGAATGTACAACGTAGACCCTTCGAACAGGAGATAAAGAACCTTCAAGACGGCAAAAAACTACCGCCAGATTCACCTATAAGAGACATTTCTCTTTTTTTGGATAACGATGGAATACTTCGGCTAGAAGGAAGACTACAGTTCTCCGATAAATCCTCTGAAGAAAGGTATCCCGTTGTGCTGCCAAAAGACGACCACTTTTCGAAGTTGTTGATAACTGAAGCACACCGTAGACTTTGCACGCGGGAGTGCGTGACACACTCGTGCAATTGCGCGGGCGCTACTGGATAGTAAGAGCTCGGCAAATGATAAAAAAAGAAATCAAGAAATGCATCGCATGTCAACGGCTCAACGCCAGACCAATGTCAGAAGTGACGGCGCCCTTGCCCGCAGATCGTGTCACAGAAGCGGAAGCCTTTGAAGTCGTGGGTGTTAACTTTGCGGGACCCGTATGGGTCACAGCGAGGAAAACAAAAAGGAAGGCATATCTCACGTTGTTCACGTGTGCAGTTACTAGGGTAGTACACTTGGAAATGGTACCGGACATGACGGCAGAAACATTCCTGCGTGCGCTCCAACGATTTGTATCAAGAAGAGGCGTGCCAAGGGTGATCTACTCTGATAATGCGTTCGCATTTAAGAGAAGCAAGAAAGACTTATGCGAGCTTTGGGATGTTCTACAAGATGAAGAAGTGCGGAATTACTTCGCAAACAGCAGGATACAATGGAAGTTCATTGCAGAAAGTGCCCCGTGGTGGGGCGGATTTTATGAGCGTTTGATCAGGTCAGTCAAGAACTCTGAAGAAAGCCATCCGACGACGAGTCCTGACAGAAGAAGAGTTAGTGACTCTCCTCACTGAGGTGGAAGCAATCATCAATTCTCGACCATTGACCTACGCGTATAGTGAAGCGCAAGAGCCTCAGCCACTATCACTGTCGCACTTCACGACAGGGAAAAGACTTACGTCGTTACCAAAACCGTCCGACTCCGACTTGCAAAACGGAGACGCAGAATCGCTGTGAAGGCTCTGGAAACTCAGAGAAGAGTTCCTGAAAGAGTTCTGGTAACGGCGGTCAAGGGAGTACCTAACAGAAGTCCGATCACTGTACAAGACAAGGAGGTCAAACCGACATCTCAAAGTTGGGGACCTGGTTATTCTTCACGAAAGCCAGCAATTACGCCAGCTCTGGAAGATGGGAGTTGTGAAAGCATTGTTTTCCGGAAGAGACGGAAGAGTACGAGTCTGCGAAATCCGACTACCCGCTGGTGCGGTTGTAAAACGACCAATACAACTTGTGTACGGGCTAGAAAGTGGTTAAAAATAAACTTTTCCCTTTTGGGGGGTGGATTAAGAAACCCTTCAGCGGAGCGGGAAGAAGACGAGGAGGTTCGGGGCTGGGCCCGAGCGCGAGCTACATTTCTTTCGGTGATTTTCGTTCGGAACTGGGAAGTGTTAGTAACGCAGTTACCGGTGATTAAAGTAGTGTTTTGTCTTGTAATCATCAACGCTTCGGCTCAATGGTTTCGACATCGTCAATGTACCTGATACTGAGTGAGAGTTATACACGGTGGAAAACCTATATGACCTAAATGTGTAATGACACGAGCGTTACTATAGTCGATGCGAAACGTACGTTCATACGATGACGCATTAAAAATGGCATATATGTGATTGGAGATACACTCAGCGCCGCGCCGTATATCATAATATTCATATAATATAAATCCAAACACGGCCGTCTTTAGCGTGTTATTGGCATTTTCCCGCACCTGCATGCTGAGATCCAATATCGACTGAAACTGTATTCATGAAACTCAAAAAAAAAGTGTTAAAAAAGTGCCACATCATCCATTATAATCTTGCTTTCGAAATGAGCATATAAATATTCTATTCCAAACGATTGAGGCACACTCAGGAATCGCGGCTCTCGAGATTCTCGGAATAATGACTTCGGGCAGTGACAACATATTCACCGGAGTGTATCACGCTATAACATAATTAGAGATCAAAAAGGAGAGTAGTGTTTTTAGAGTTTCCATTTCGCCGGTCCTCATCGGAAGGGACCCAGCCCACCCAAGGTGCGAGCACTATTTTGAACACCAGACAACATCTTGTTTCCTGCGTGTCCAAGGACTATTAGTTGGCTCAACTTGGTCTGAGTAGAAGACAAGTACATCCCAGTATAAAATATGGGCGCTTTCAGGTGTTCTAAACACACGGAAAACTAGTTCGTGAAAATTTAGTATCAAGCTCAGGCAGAGGTAAGCCAGGCTGCTGCCGATATGCTGCTCCAATCTTTGAAAGGCATCCTCTGTCTGCTTGCCGTATCTAACGATATCTATATGTCAAGGGCAATATGCTACGGTGAATCAGCTCAAGAATTCAATTCATTCCTTCGGAACTGGACTAGATCAGGCCAGGATGCCACTTTCGTCTGCTGCGGTGGATCGTGGGACGCCCAAGACATTGAATGGCAGAAGAGCCTCGATGTGAAATCGACACGGTGGTGCGGGCACTGGGGCGAACTAAGGACCCTCATTGAAGACAACGCTGTGTACGGAGTTCGGACCCTCCTAATGACATATCGTCATCGGGGAACGCCAGAATCCTGCATCGACCCGGTGCCCAAACACTACAGGTTTTGGTATGCAACGAAATGGTTAGTGTTCGGGTATTTCGAGGCATGCCTACATTCCCCTTACTTGTTTCGTACTCAGCAGATGCAGCTTTGTTGTTGCGTTCCTTCGACGAAATTCCAGAAATCTGGAATGGTAACCATTGCAATTGGGGCTAATCGGTCCCGTGAATATCAACGACTCGAAACCGATCACTCCTTGAAATGTCACCAAGGGGGGAGTTTGCCGCGCAGTTTCGTCTCGTTCTCTGGGAGGCCGATAAAAATAGCCTGCAGGGTGTTGCCTGGTGTATCTCAAGTCTTCACCAGTTGCGAAGGGTACAAGAAGGAAATAATACAAGAGGCATTAGCGCTGCTCAATGCAACATTAGTGAAGACAACTTTCTCGGCATGGAGTGATTTGGACGAGTACCGGGCTGAGGAAGTCGATATTTTCATGTTCTTTCAGAAAATATATAGAGAACTGCTTACAGATTTTGATCTACCTTTAGTCAACAATATCGGAGCATTCACGTTCTACGTGAAGAAATCAAGCACCATTCCAGTCACTGCAGGATATGCCCTCGACAGGTCGAAACTGCCGCTAACTTTCTTGCTGCTATGTCTCGCATGTTGCTTCGTTATGCTCGTTGTTATAGATTTAAAAGATGCCACCACATCCGGGATCACTGTGGCTAACGACACCATGCTTTTTCTTGTTGCGACGTTCTATTCGACGTCTTGTCATTTGAAAACTTCTGCCCGCTTTTGTACGAGTCGCCGCTTTGTCGTCCTAGCGTGGACCCTGGGTACACTCTCCCTTTCGGTGTGCTTTGAAGGCCAGCTGACTTCGTGGCTGGTTGCTCGCATTCCCGAGCCAATCGTTGACAATCTGATTAAACTTGAAACGGCTCTGGATGCTCACGCAATTCGACCGTGCGTCACCAGAGACACACCTTGGAACGTAGCCGTTCTTGATTCATATGACGCTGCAGTCTTGAGAAAATTGAAGAGATCTCTTGATTCGCCGCCGGAAGAGGGCACGCTTGGTGACTGCTTCAAATGCGCTTCAAGGAAAGGCCGGTTGTGCATCACGGTTAGACAGTCGCCCTGCTACATGCGCGCTGTTTACCCCAGATTTAAGGAATCAAAGGATCCATTGGGGCTAGTCTACGCGGGCGTACCTGTGCGGAAGCACTACCGTCTGAGGATGGCCTTTCGGTATCTAGTTCAAAGAGTCCACGAGACGGATTGGTTACACATGACTAAGATAGAGTGCGCTGCTTCTCAGCCGAAAGATGAGATGGAGCCGACGCCCGAGTCGCTAAATGTTGTCATTGTGGCGCAGTTTGTATTGCCGTGTTTTTGTGTGTCGTTTTTCGTGTTCTTTTTGGAAACGCTCTTTGGGCGATATTTCGCTCGGCGTGCCGCAAGATTGACAAGAGTACGGGCAGTGTAATCATTATGTATCAAATGGCACAAGTTGTACATTGATTCGTTCTTCCAAGTGCATCAAAGCTATGCTTTTCTTTCTTATTTTTCTTTTGTTTGTACAACACCTTTCAGTCACTGCAGATAACATGCGTCCGGTCACCCGAAGCTCAACTGCGGCTGTATGAATTTTTTTTAATAAATTGTTTGCTGGAGCGTTTGTACGGACTACGTGTTTTGTGTAAGAAAGCACTGATGCGTGGGACATTCAAAGTTCACAGAGAGATCGATATAAATTCAAAGTCACTGAACAATGCAAAGGTATTGCTTAATTTATGGTTGCAATAAAAAGTGTTTTTGTTTAGTTATTGACTGATTCACAAGTATAGAGTTTTGAGTGGTCATCTGAAGCACGCTTCAATATGCAAGTTTTCATGTTGTTGATTTTCAATTCTAATAAAGAAATTTTGAATTCATTGCGTATTTTTATACTTTTTATAATACACACCTGATTTTATAACCTCTTAATTGTTGCTCCATAGTTCGTTTACCTTTCATATTGTTATTGACTGATTGATTGAAGTTGAGTGGCGCAGTAATTTCCAAGGCCAACAACTGACTATTGCAAGAAACCAGGGTTATAAATAAGAAAGAGCTGTAGTAGCTTGTGGGTTATGAAAACTACGAACATGAGAGAGTATACTCACATAGGCATGATCCCAGGACATATGTTAATTTATAGCTGGTCTAGCAGTCTAATATCTCTAAGAAAATTAAAAACACAGTTGTGCGGTATTGGCGATTTGTCGCCGAGTAA